CTATCTATCTATCTATCTATCTCTATCTCTCTCCCCCCTCCCTCTTTTTCTCTCGTGTGTTATTTGCAATTTTAAAATTTGAAATAGAATTTGATACTGCAATACCAAATTGAATAATATAACAACTAATTTATATTCACGAACATATATGTACCTTTTTATCCTAGCAAAAATTAAAATATTATAAGTTATCTTATTTCTTTCGAATATCACAGTTTTAATAACACGTATTTCTCGAATTTCTCGAGATAACTTTAATAATAAAATAATAAAAAATAATTAAAATAATAAAATAATTTTAAAATAATATGTATCACAAATTATAAAGGATGTGTCCAAATCAAATTATAATTTAAGTTGTGTATCTTTGTCAAATATACTTCAGCTTCAGCGAACTGGTTCCATAAGTCTTTCTGTTAAAATAGCCGCGGGCATAAATCGTCTGCGTTTTTAAAACATCCATCATGTTCGTCTTGGAATCATATCTTGACAATTACATAATTATCGCATTCGATTACACTTCAAGCTAAATTAGTATTTCCGTTAGAGATAAAAAAAAAGAATTTCAAGGAAACTTCGTTGTACATCTGAATTAACAGAGATTAATATCGAGGTTTGTCCTTCCATAAAAATAGAAAATACAAGATACTTTTCTTTAGAAAATTTTCTTTAAAGAATACCTGGTGATATCCGAATTAAGATATTATTTGGAATATAGAAAATGTTAGAAAAATATCAGACAGGCTATGGAATAATAGTATACTTTTGAGTCATGTATTATACATTATTATGTTAAATGAAAACGAACAAAAGGTATAGAAAGGTATAAAACGCCCAGATAAACAGCAAAGAAAAAGAAGAAGAATGCTGAGGAGATCCGTTTTGAGATTTTTTGATAAATCGTTTTTATCAAGATAGATTTAATGCTTATTTATTCCACTATTAATGCTCGCTTCTTTGTGATAAAAGATACTTTCTATATACCTTATCGAAATCTGAGAAATTATGCTTTCATAAAATTGAAATCATTTAAATAAATTTCGACCCACCATCACGTTCGTTTTGTTATTGTGATCTTTAAACGTCCGCATTAATTAAAGCAGAATTAATAAATCGCGGAAAGAACAAGGATAAGGATCGATTCAACAAGACAATCAAAATATAATTGCTCTTGTTTAAGTTTTGCAACAACAATTTCTTGGAAAAAAAATTATCGGTATTAATCGAAGTAAACATATATTCACCTTAATGAATAAGGATCCATTGTGCGTCTCGCCTTTCACTTGATTACTATCGGTCGACACGTGAATGTGCGTGCGCGTTTCTTCTTCTTCTTCCTGCTGATTAGATGTTAATCAAATAGGCGTCTCCCCACGAGAAGACTATCGTCAACTTTGTCCAACATTGGCAACATCCAGCATTTTATAGTCTAAAATTAAATCATAACTTGAATTATTAAAAATGTAACATTATTAAACGCAATAATTGAAAATTTCTCTCTAATATTAAATAAATATTTGCAGCATCATTATCTAACACGATAGTGTTTCTCCTAGTGTTGAATCCTAATTAATTATAAAATACGGATTTGAATTCCAATTAATTATTCTAGATAATAACATCGCCTTACATGTAGCATCCATTTGAAACGAACGCATCCAATATCTTGGTCTCACAGAAATGCAGCAATTTTGTGATTATGACACGGAATGCGGAATAGTAACTTTCTCTGTCGGATGCAAAACCGATTTTTCTCCTTGTATCATTGCGCGTGGCAGTCGAAACGACAAGATACGCGTTTCCTATTAATTCTCTGATGAAACTCTATTTTTCTTTCACGCACGCTTTCGTTTCCTCTCTTTGATTATCAGGATAAAATGGAATAAAATAACGAAGAGAAGAGGAATTACGAGGAATCACTCATCATTAGTCGTCCATTTTCTCGTGGCTGTTACGAGAGTCTTTTTACATACTTATTTACGGGAAATGAGTTACATCGGTGTATCTCGTCCCGAGTCAAGGGCGTTCGCATGAGCCTGGATTATTGCCGTTTCAATGATCTCTGTGCTCTAGCATATAGCGTATAGTAATTGCCATTAAGGTAACGTCAAGTTATGGGCGACTTATGATTCTTAATGTGCAATTCGTACACAGAAAGAAATATCTAAATGTTTAATCAGATATGATAAATTTGAAAATAATTTTGTTGAGCTATTAAGACACTTATATAAGACACTTAAGTGATAATACTGTAAAAATTTTGATTTTCTAACAATCAATTTGAACATCCTTTATAATTATTTTGATGATCTAATAAAATTATTTTCTGACCTGACCAATTTTTTAGATACTTCAATAAAATCATTTTCTTCCCTGTAATAGATTAGCAATAATTTATCATTCATTTATCATCCCTCTTCTTTCATTATTTTTATTCATGATTTTTATATAGTCTAATTTTGTACACGAATTAATATAAATTCATCATTTGCATACCGAAAAAACAGTCTTGAAAGATCTAAAATTTAGCCAGATACAGATCTGAAAATAATTTTGTTCGATTATCAAAATTGTTATATATTATTGTTGTATAAAATTGTTATACAATTATTGTATAATGCTTTAGCATAATGATGATACTACAAAATTTTTTTATATTCTAGCAATCAATTTGAACGTTCTATATAATTACTTTTATAATCCAACAAAATTATTTTCAAATCTGTATCTAGTCAATTTTTTTAAATCGTTTCTCGGGAACAGTCTCGTAATAATTTATCATTCATTTATCAGTATAATTTCCCCCCTATGATTTCTAATCATTTGTATAGTAATTTTATACACGAATTAATATAAATTGATGATTCGCATATCAACCAATTTGAACGTCCTACATAATTATTTTGATGGCTAATAAAATTGTTTTCAGATCTCTATCCAAATTTTTAGGTCCTTCAACAAAACTGTTCTTTTCCTTCATCCTTCGATTTCGACTCGCTACACAGACCAAATCGATATATCGATATAATTGATTTTAGCAATGTTATATAATAAACATAGATTGTGAATCTTTCCTCTCGAACAATGGCATATTTCATTAAAACTTTTGTTTTCGCATATATTCATTTATTAGCAAATAAAAACTCATGTTTGATAAAAAATTTTATTTTTTTCATTTTTAATAAATTAAAATCAATTTAATTCCACTGTGCATTAACGAATGAGTAAACAACGAATAGCAAATCACAAATCACAAACCACCGAATCGTGCATTATTTAATATTAGCTTTAGGATCTGCACAAATGTTAATGGAGCAAATGTTAGGAACAGAAATAAATATTAAATTCTGGAAATGAAAATTCGAAATAAGAATTACATGTAACGCACAATGAACAATAAATAAGTATAAAATAGTCATATTTTTTATTTTTTAATTACTTGTATTTCATTATGCGTTACGTTTAATTTTTATTCCGAATTTTTATTTCTAAAATTTAACATTTATTCCTATTCCTAATATTTCCTTCATTGTGCGCAGGACCTTAGTCTGGCGGCTAACGATCGCCATAGATTCTGGAAAAATCGAGTTCGGCGCCGTTGTAACCGACGATTTCATCTAAATTGCTCGCACGCGCGCGCGTCTTATCCGACTTTCATCCCGCATGGCTTCCACCAATGATCTGCGAGCGTCAATAAACCGAGAAATCATTGGCGATTGTGCTCGACGTTCAAAATTTAACTGCACAAAGAGCAAAAAGCTAGGAATAGAAATGACTTAATGATTGTTTTAATGACTATAATAGTCTACGCTACGCGTAGAAATAGACAAAATTTCATAGATGATAAGATGATTTAGGTTGATATGATTTTCATTGTCCGATTATATGAACAAGCATTTTTTTTATTCGCGATAAGATTTCGCATGAAAGAGGAGCAAGCGTCACTGAATCGTGACTTTTTTCCCTTCTTCCGCGCAGAGGAAAGAATTGATCGCGGCGTTCGTGAATGATTTATGCGCCTCGCGGCGCAAGAAACATTTACAACGAGTAATCATAATTGTCGCAAAGAACGATCCGTCGTGCTGCCCGAATAGCAGTTGGCGAGCGCTAAAAACTAGAGAAAAATTCTGTAAAGTCTCAAGATAAGTATCGGCGCGCGATAATATGCAACTTTCCTCAGCATTTCGAGGAGTCTTTCGATATGTGGAACTTGGCGTTGTGAAAGCGATCCGCGTTTAAACTGTTTTTCACGACAAGCGTGGTACACGAAGAATTCGGACTTTTAGGCCCGATTGCACCAACGTTATTATTTTGACTTTAAGCGAGACTTAAAGTCAAATATATCTATTTTTATTTACTTAGAAAGAAAGATAAAAATAAATAATAATATAGATAAATCTCGCTTAAAGCCAAAGTAACGTTGGTGCAACCGGGTCTTTGAAAAAGAAAATCACTATTTTATGAAATATTTCGGATTGATCATTTTCGAATGAAATCTTTATATAAATATATAGAAATATCTGTTTATCATTGTCCAATTTTATTTTATATCGTATATTTATCTTTTTCATAAATTTCTACTTTTAAATTTTATTTTTTAAATAATTTTGTTTTTTAAATTTCATACTAACGAAAGATAATAAATTTCTTCAATGTTTCGAGTTGTATAATGAATTCGCATAATGAATTCGGTTTGGTCAAGGGTTAAACGGCATTAGGCGCATCCATGAATATAAATGCGATTCGTAGATGCGGGTTGGTTAAAATTACGCCGGTTATGCGTTTAAGATTACATCAACGCACTTGCAACAGTCAGCAAATCTTTAAGATTACAGTCTTAGGATATAGATAAACTAAAGAAGAATAATTTGAAGAATAATATAATTTCAGTCTCGCATGAGGTCAGAAATCATGTAACGAATCAGTAAACGAATCGTGTAACATACTTTTCATTTTTTTTTCTTATCTCTTTTGCAACAAAGGAAATAAATCGCTGCTTGTCCCTCTATCTGGGTTTTGCGTAAACCCAGTTCAAGCGACGTTGATGCAATCGATCCTGTCATCCTACGAGGTTCTCGTAACATTAGGAAGAGACAGGTTGATCGCCGCTATGCGATATAATGGTTGTAAAAGTCGTCCGTTGCGATTGCACGAGAGAAAAATTGCACAACTATCGATGGAAACAAATGAAGCGTAAAATTAAACTGCGGCTTGATTTAAATGCTAAGTTATAATTGACACCGACGTAACAAGTTCCGAATTTCTAATATCCAAATACAATGCAACAGAAAAATAAAGATATAAAGATAATAATGAACCTACTTTAATTTTTACTCAAATTTTTTGAAGCCTATACTTCGATCTATCCGATATCTAATTTAAGTGCACAATTAAATTATGAAAAAGGATGATTTTGTTGATATATCTAAAAATAACACAAAAAGAATTTTGCTAAAATGTTTAAAAATTTGGTCAAATATAGATCAAAAAGTAATTTTGTTGGGCCATCAAAGGACGTTTAAATATGATAATAAAACTATAGAAATTTTTTTCTACCAAATAATTTAAACATCCTATGTAAATATTTTAGTGGCCCGATAAAATTATTTTCAGATTTGTATCTAATCAAATTTTTAGATACTTCAGCGAAAGTGTTCTTTTTATGTAAATATAAATTTAAAAATAATTTTGTTCATCATCCAAAATAATTATGTAGGACGCTAAGCATGTTGATAATATTGCAAAAATTTTTAATATTCTAAGAACTAATTCAAATTTTAATTTTTAGATGCTTCAGCAATATTGTTCTTCCCATTATCAATGACATGACATGATGTTCAATAATCATCGATATCGTATGATTCGATGAATGACGTTTTAATCATGTCGTGACGTCATGATCAAATTTTCACTCTCGTCACTTGATAAACTGCATTTGATAAAGTTTTATCTATTTCTTTGTGCGTGCTCGAATTCTATTTGATAACGATTACGACAGAAAGATATTCTGTAATCTCGTAACACTCCTATATTTTCTCTGGAATCTATCTTTATTTTTCTACTAATTAAAAAGAATCCGAATTTGTTAAAAGAAAAAAACGTTGCTATTTTAATTATATGTGATTATGTGGGAAATAATTTTAACTGTTTTAATAAAATTTGAATGAAAATTTGCTCCTTTTCTCGTGTATCGATAAATTATTTTCAGGCATTTCTGTAATTCTCTCTTAAATTAATGAAACACGTTATCACTAAAGTGCCTGAATTAAAAATACTCGAGCTGAGTTCACGACAATTTTCTCTAAATTTAATCTTACGAGTGCTGTTTTACGCAGAATATAGTAACACAATACGGAAGCACAAAAAATTTCTTCATAGGTGATTTAATATTAGAAAATTTGCTCCTTTTCTCATAGTGTATCGATGAATTATTTTAATTCTTGCGATTCTCTCTTGAATTATAAAACTCATTATCACTAAAATGCCTGAATTAAATGTACTCGAGCTGAGTTCACGAAAATTTTCTCTAAATTCAATCTTACGAGCGCTGTTTTACGTAGAATATAATAAAATCTATAACGAAAGCACAACATTTTTTCATCTCACGGTTGGTTTAATATTAGACATCGAACATTCTGATGGCCCGCGCGGTTCTCTGTACGCTCTCAATGTTTACAAAACCCCGCGAGAATCGATCGATCCGCGGCGGATCAACGCCCGACGTGGCGTCATATTATAAAGGACTGACAGTAAATATGATAGACAGGTAGGCCTTAGGTCTCCTTTGAGTGCATTTGGTACCATTCATTCCTTTCCCGTTTTTTTTCTTTTTTTCAAAGAGACTTAAACAGTACGGTTAGTTTCCTTTTTGTACGGAAAGAACGATCTTGTTGAAGTGTTTCAAAATTTTGACAGATACAAACCTGAAAATAATTTTGTTGGATCATCGAAATTATTACGTAGGACGCTCAAGCATGATAATAATATTACAAAAGTTTTTCTAATAATTAATTTGAACGTTCTACATAATTATTTGATTTATTATTTTAATTTATTATTTTTTTTTATTATTTTGATGAGCCAACAAAATTATTTTTAGATTGATATCTGATTAAATGTTTAGATATTTCAGTAAAATTGTTCTTTCCACATGGATTCGGATAATGTTAGAAAATGCAGCCGGAATAAATTTGTACGTTCTAATAAATTTTAAACTGTCCGTAAGACTGTGACACTTTTTTTTCTTCCGACAAATGAGTAAATATCTCGAAAAAGTATAAATATAAATTAATCCGAAACAACAGGATAAATTCCTAAGTGTGTAGAGTTGAAGAGATGTGATTTTTCGAATTTTCTAAAATTGTCGAGATTTGAGCAGTCGGTCAACCGAACTATACATGAATTCAGACTTGTGTTCAATCGTGCACTCACCTTTGCCGAACAGCTTCGAGAATCGATTTTCCGTTGAGTGTCCCGTTCGCGAGGAGCAGAGAATTGCTGAGAATGGGCGAAGCTGGCTGGGAAAACAATCGGAGACGCCGAACTCGGGAACTTTCTGGTCTCGTTTCCGTGCCTTGCGATCCTTATGGAAGGAGCAGTAAGGCTGACACGACACGACGCAACGCGACGCGACGCGACGCGATGCGACCCGACAATGATTCGGACCGACTGGCGAACGAACCAGACTACCCACTCGACGGCTGGTAGACGACTGAGCCTTGAAAATCTCATCGCTTCATTCCCCTACATACTCCTTCCCCTTCAGTTCTGCCTGCGTTACGCATCGTTATCCACACTGTTCACGTGGTGGTGGTTTAAGGGTTGCTAAGGCCACGTCGTCACCAATCATCGCGCGTTGGACTGATCTCTGGTTTGTCCTTCTGTCTCTCATCACGTTTTGAGTTTCTCATGAGAATTTGTCCACCTCTTATCACGTGATACTCATCTGTTTCAAAGTAAGGTAACGGTTGCAATTATGAGCCATTTAAGATTAAAATGTTTTTCATTAATCCATGTAAATTTAATGATCAACAAAGTTTTTAAAAAATTATTAATGTCATGTAAACGGTAAATATTATAATTTCAAAGAAAAATTATATATTTTGTGTGACAAAGGCAAGATTTGTGTGTGTGTGTGTGTGTGTGTGTGTGTGTGTGTGTGTGTGTGTGTGTGTGTGTGTGTGTGTGTGTGTGTGTGTGTGTGTGTGTGTGTGTGTGTGTGTGTGTGTGTGTGTGGTGTGGTGTGTGTACAAAGTAATCTCATTTTAAAGGACTGATTGAAATATCTTCTTAGAAAAGCGTTTTAGAGAAAAACATTTTAAACAAAAGTTGTAAGGTTCAGAGAAGAACATCCGATGATAATCTTACCTTTGTCACAGATGTCCTTTTCCAAAAGCATTTAAAGATCAACTTTTTATTTGTTAAATGAAAACATCTATTTTTTATTGCATATTCTTACAGCCTCAAGAGCTCTGTAAAACACTATAATAAAGTATTTTTTAATAAGTACTTTCTGAATTATGAGGCTTGAATTTGACATGCAATTTGATATAAAGTATAAAATACTTCATAATCTATTCACCTATTCATTTTTTGACAATACTATTTGACAATAATTTTTTGACAGTACTTTAATACTTTTATGCATGAAATAATGAATTGAAATATTGAGATCAATTGGTGTAAAGAAAATATTTAGTTGCTGTTTAGAAAAATGGAAATTTGCAATATGCAATAATGTATATTTGTTGGAAAACAATTATGTATTTTTTTATGCTAATATTGATTCAGCTTAATCTGTGTATAAAAGTATTAGATATAGTTGCCAAAAAATGAATAGTTTATGATATTTTAGACTTTATGTCAAATTACATATTAAATTCAAGCATTCATAACTCGGAAAATACTTAATAAAAAAATACTTTATTCTAGTGTTTTGCAGAGCTCTTGAGGTAAGCTATAAAAATATGTAATAAAAAAATGGGAATTTCTATTTAAAAAAACAAAATCATCCTTGATTTGATCTGTAACGATCCAAGGTCTACTTTTTTTAATTAAATATGTCTCCTTCGATTCATGTAATCTTAAGAAAACATGATTTCAATATCTCATATAATTCCAGAGAGATAGCATTATGTCAACTTAAATGGTACACTTTGTATATAAACATAAATGTTTTACTTAATAAAATTAATTATTAAAAAAATTTATTATGTACAATCTTAGAAATGCTACACACACACACACACACACACACACACACACACACACACACACACACACACACACACACACACGCGC